TAACAGTAATTGTCTGAGTAAGGACATGAAATTTTGGCCTACAAAATCATAGAATCCTAGGGTTGGCAGAAACCTCAGGAGGTCGTTGAGTCCAGCCCCCTGTCCAAAGCAGGACCAACCCAACTCAATCATCCCAGCCAGGGCTTTGTCAAACTGGGACTTAAACACCTCTAGGGATGGAAAAGCGGCGAGGAGTCCTGTGGCACCTTATAGACTAACTGAAGTGTAGGAGATGACCCTCCCTGGGTAATCCCTTCCAGTACCCTCCTAGCCTATCCAACCTAGACCACCCTCACTGCAACCTGAGACCATTGCTCCTTGTTCTGCCATCCATCACTACTGAGAACGGCTTCTCTTCATCCTCTTTGGAACCTCCCTTCAGGAAGTTGAAGGCTGCTCTCAAATCCCCCCTCACTCTTCTCTTCTGCAGATTAAACAAGCCCAAATCTCTTCGCCTCTCCTCGTAGGTCATGTGCTTTAGCCCCCTCATCGTTTTCACTGCCCTCTCCAATGCATCCGCATCCTTTCTGTAATGTGGAGCCCAGAACTAGACTCAATATTCCAGATGTAGCCTCACCAGTGCTGAATAAAGGGGAATAATTACTTCCCTAGATCTGCTGGCAATGCCCCTCCGAATGCATCCTAATATACCATTAGCCTTCTTGGCTACAAGGGCACATTGTTCACTCATATTCAGCTTCTCATCCACTGTAATCCCCAGGGCCTTTTCTGCAGAACTACTGTTTAGCCAGTCTGTAACAATACTTGGGATTCTTGCATACCAAGTGCAGGACTCTGCACTTGTCCTTGTTGAACCTCATCAGGTTTCTTTTGGCCCTATCCTCCAATTTGTCTAGGTCACTCTGGACCCTGTCCCTGACCTCCAATGTATCTACTTCTCCCCCTAGCTTAGTGCCATCTGCAAACTTGCTAAGGATGTAATCCATCCCCTCATCCAGGTCATTAATAAAGATGTTGAACAAAATTAGCCCCAGAACTGGTCCTTGGAGCACTCCGCTTGAAACCAACTGCCAACCTGACATCGAGCCGTTGATCACTACCCATTGAGGTCAACAATCTAGCCAGCTTTCTATCCACTTTACAGTCCATTTATTCAATCCAGGCTTCCTTACCTTGCTGGCAAGAATATTGTGGGAGACCGTATCAAAAGCTTTGCTAAAGTCAAGGTATATCACATCCACTGACTTCTGCATGTCGACAGAGCTTGTTACCTCATCATAGAAGGCAATCAGGTTGATTAGGCAGGACTTGCCCTTCATGAATCTATGCGGACTGTTCCTGATCACTTTCCTCCCTTCCAAGTGCTTCAAAATGGATTCCTTGAGAATCCCCACCATGATTTTTCTAGGGACTGAGGTGAGGCTGACTGGTTTGTAGTTCCCTGGATTGTCCTTCTTCCCTTTTTTAAAGATGAGCACGACGTTTGCCTTTTTCCAGTTGTCTGGGATCTCTTCTGATCTCCATGAGTTTTCAAAGATGATGACCAAAGACTCTGCAATGACATCTGTCAACTCCCTCAGCAGCCTCAGATGCATAAAATCTGGTCACATGGATTTGTGTATGTCCAACTTTTCTCAATAGTTCTTAACCTGTTCTTTCTCCACCGGGGGCAGCCCATCTCCTTCCCATGGTGCGTTGCCTAGTGCAGTAGTCTGGGAGCTGACCTTGTCTGTGAGGAATCCTTCCAACTCTGCCAGCCTGATTCATTGCTTTGAGATACAATATAACATCTGGCAGCCTAAGATGCTTAGCACAAAACCAGCTGTGCTAGAGTAATGTGGCAGGGTGTTTGCAGGCAATTGGTAAAGAAAAACTATCTAAATATAAATTGTGGTCAAGAGACAATTATAAAAAGATCTGTAATTTTTCTTTGTTTTGTAGCAATCAGATTTTAGACAATTGTTAATGCAAAGATGCTTTTGTGAACTGCAGGCAGCAGAGAAGTTATGGGAGCAAGGATCAAAGAGCACCTAAAGATTTCCCGAGTCTGTTTCTTCCGTGCTTCCATGGCAGCTAATGCAATTGGCAGTGGCTGGGGGTGGGGAGTGCTCACTATGTGGCAGCTCCCTGCGAAAGCACAGGAGGGGAGACTCTGTGCTGTGTCTCTAATGGTGAAGCTCAGAACCCAAAGCCTAGGAGCTGAGGGGGTGGGCCATGGTGGCTGTGTGCCACTTTGGGCCCTTTGGATTCTGTGCTGCTGCAGGGCGTAGAGGGTCCCCAGATGATTTTATAGAGTTTGGTTTGGGTCCAGTGAAATCTTTGGGAGGCTTCTTCTTTTGCTTGAGCTGCCTCTCCCCATCTCTTTGTGCTTGGGTGACTGGGCAGCCTTGATTCTAGTTTTCTAGCAATTATTTCTGAATTCCAAATGGGTTTGAGAAACCTTCCTGACCTGAATTGTCAGTGGGGGCAGGTCTACACAGCAGGGCAAAACTCGAATTAAGCTACACAACTAGAGCTACGTCAATTGCGTAGCTTACGTTGAAATAACTAATTAGCTTCTGGCACTGTCTACACAGCAGGAAGTAGAAGGAAGAACACTCTTCCTTTGACTTCCCTTCCTCCTCGTGAAATGAGGGTTACCGGAGTCAGAGTAAGAAATTCTCCAGCTCGACATTATTTCAAAATAATGGCTTCCTGCATAGATGCGCTCTTCGTTATTTCGGAATAACGTTAGCATTGGCTGATGTCCAGTTAGTTATTCCAAAATAAAAATAGTTGTTCTGAACTAGCGCTGCTGTGTAAACGTACCCTGGTTGAGCTCATATGGTTGCCCATCACCTTGGGATCGATGATCAGCCAGCCAATGGATTACAGCTACTTAAATAAACACCTGGATTACCGAGTCTCCAGAACCCCCCAGTGCAACCCAATGGCATGAGAGGCCTCCATTGGAAGTTGCAATCTTGGTCTTTTTAAAAAAAACACTGTCTGGCTTTTAGACCAAAGACAGCACAACTGGACGTCAGCCAACGCAAATTGCCTGCTCACTGGCCCCAAAGCCTGAGGATAGCAGACAGGAGTGGCACAGAAACACAGGCTTATCTCAGGAAGCCAAGAGCTTACCCCTCCAGTTAAAGCTGGAAGCAGCGAGACACATCATGGTCTGTGCGGGTCAGTGCCGGGAGTTGGATGGTGCAGAAGTTCTCAATGAGGGGGAGGGGCAAACAGGGGTTGGGACTCTCCTTTCCTCGCTGCTACATGGGAGAGCGGTGCCGGGTAGGCGGGAGGGGAATCCTGAACGGGAGAGAGAGTTCCAGTGTGGGAAGGGCTGAATACTCACTTTCCTGTGTGTGCGCCATTGTCCTCTGGCTCACTGGTATCGAACTGCCCGGCTCTGTGGCCTACTCCCTGCACTGCTAATAGCTGCTGCACTACGGGTAGGTGCTGAGATACAGGCCTGGCAATGGGGGGCAGAAGGAGCAGTTGTCCTAAGGCCTGGGGAATCAAAGGGGCCCGGGGCTCGCAGCTGCTGCTACTACTGCACCAGAGGCAGCGGCTGGGCCCCCCGGGCCCCTTAACTCACCAGCAGAGACCCTCTCCCCTCTGCTCATTGCCCCATTTCTTCCAGGGCAGGGAGTCAGGCCCCAGCCACACATATTGCCTGGGGGCCCCCATGGCTGGTGAACACTGTCTAGGCCCCTATACTGACTAGAAGAGTTAATGCGCTTCACCTTTTGGAGTAGGAGGGTCTGAGTTCTGTTCCTGGTCCTGCCAATCAATTCCCAGGAGCCATGGGATAACTGCAGAGTGCCATGTGGCTACCGATGGTTTACTGGGTATTTTGAGCTCTTCTGAGTCAGAACAGACTTTCCTCTCAAATAAGCCACCGTGATAACTCATCGAGACAGGATCTAAACCAGCCGGGGGCCTGGGAGGCTCTTCATAATGGTGGTCGGACGCCTCCCACTGCTACGGTTAAATCTGGTTACCGTCCGGCTGCTGTTCCTAGGCCTGTGAGGCATGAGCCAGTGGCCTCAATCCATTGTAAAATAGGCAGGTGCCACATCAGTAAACTAGCTCTGATTGGTTCCCCTAGCTGTCACTCTCAGCTCAGAGGGCAAGAACCCCTTTCTCACCCCCAGGGTGAGATCCTTCTGCACAGCTACAACAGGGTTGCCAGATGATTGAAACAAAAATACTGAACCTCCCCCCTTCCCTCCCGCCAAAAAAATTCTGTTGAAGGGGGGGGAGGCCAAAGTTGTTGAGCAAAAAAAAACAAAAAAGGACTCCAAGTAAGCCAAAAAAAATTAAAATAACACAGCATTAAAACAGCATGTCCCCTTTAAGAGTGAGTGCAGGGATAGGAACAGGGGAGCGGCTGAGCACTAAGACCCGGGGGAGCATTGCTTACTCTAGGTCTTTTGGCTGGCAGCCATTTTGTGCTGGCAGCCTTGTGAACCAGGTAAGCATGGGGGCTGGGGTCGGGGGGCCGGGAGTGTTGGGGGCCAGGTTGCGGTTCGGGGGGGGGCCAGGCGCTGAGTGTTT